ATTTTTATGGTTAACTTATAACCGTCGAAATAAAATTTCAAATGCATTCTGTTGGTTATAAAAAGTTTAGTATAATAAATAACTTCGCTTAAATGGAATTAATCGAATGAAATTTATATTTATTACATATAAAAATTGAGAACTTCAACTTCTTAATTATGTTCATTATTATTGATATAATCTTGGGGACTATTTAATAGAAAAAATGTGCTCATATGATAAGAACACGCCATTCTCAACAAATATGTAGTTAACAACTGAAGATGCTAATTAGCTGTCAACATTATATACATACGTATTAAACTATTTATTCAGGGTAAACATATTTTTGGATTCAAGTATCTGCGCATTACATTTCAATTTATTATCTTATCGCACTGTCAAAAATGATTTCAACAGACCAATCAAAGCTTAAAATCAAAATAAATTTAAAGATTCAACTTTGCACATTATTTCAATGAATTGATAACTTGTCAGACTGTGAGTTGATTGCAAATCAAACTGTGCCCATATAAATAAATAGATTACAACAAATATTAGATTAGATAGCATATAAAAATTATTTATTAATAGCTTATGTTGTAATCTAGTATGTCTATTCTATTTTTAGCTATTTTCAGTTGCTAAGCATTTGAATAATGACAGTATTATTTATGGCAACATAGTCGCAAATCGATTCGTTCCTTGTAATTTGTCGGTGCATCTAATACTCTTGTACTTAGCATAAATGGGCGTATGAAGAATCACTGACTGCATTGTAAATTTTACAGTCCACTAATAAAAAAAGTGGCTTGTTAATTTTTGTAAGTGTAATAATATACTGGTAGTAAAAGGATGGCTGCCACTCGTTTGTGGTTTTTCGACAATGTTGCAAGCGGAGCAATTTTAAGCGATCGTATAACTCAATAAAAAACCCAGCACGAGGCGCCTGCTTCTCATCGTCAGCATTTGACGTAGATTATACAAATTTATGCAACAGTGTTGGCACTTTGCAGGAACCTCTATCTCCCAACTCCATTCGCCCATCCCTGCGTTATTCACGTCTGGCGTTTTACCACCATTTTTTATGGCCTTACAGTCTGCTGCTGTTGTTTTTTCTTTTCTTTTCCTTTTTTTTTTTTTTTGAAAGCTGACGCCATGGCTGCTTTTGCTGCTCCTGTTTCTGTTGCGCATTTCCGGCTCCCCAAGTGCTGGTTAAAGTTGGGGGCGACAAGGGAGAGAGGCGAGAAAACAGTTGACTGTCGGTCTTTTGGCTGCCCAGAGCAGCATTTGATTTTCATTAAAAAACACGAAGAGAGCTGAGCGCAAAAAAATTGTTTCATAAAGTTGTAATGTGGGCAGGCCGAGTCTGAGCTGCGAAATTCCCCATTGCCAGCACTGGTTGAGGCCACTCTCATCAACAACGACAACAACAACAATGACAACAAGAACAACAACAACAACTAGAACTTCAAAGCAGATTTTGTCAGTAATTTAATTTTAGTCTGACAGTTGCTGCCGGCTCTACATATTTGCTAACTTTCTAAAAGAATTTCCATTTTGATGCGTGATTTTAGAGTGCACTCATTTGAATATGTATGAAATGCATTGATATGCATTCATTTGTGGCCGCTCGATTTAAATAGAAATTATTTACTCAGCAATGCCAGCTCTTAAGCAGTGTCGGCAACACACTTTGTATACGTTGTATGTGACAGCGCAAATAAGCCAAATATGCCCCAGAGATGCGCAAGGAGCACAAGATGATTGTCAGAATACTGAGAATACAAGGAAAGGCCCGCTAGCAGCTGGCAAAATTAAGAAAAACACAAGTAAACAGTGACGAGAACGTCACGACCGCAAGTTACTCTGTTTTTAATGCAAGAACAGAACATAGTTTGAGTTCTTAAAGGTAAATTTCTATAAATGTGAAATAAACTTCTTAAAAGTGCAAATCCTTGCCTTGAACTGGCAGTCAAACAACTTTTCTAAAATTTACTATTCGAAAACACTTTTTAATTTATAAAAACATGTTATTATTCCTAATTTATTTCCACGATTATTTGGATTTTAACATACATTTTATTCCTTTAATCAAAAAATAATAACTTTGGAAATATTACTTTGAAATGAAAAGAAAATAGTTTCAGAAATTGACTTTCTTAACAAATATAAACGAACCATAAGATTTTTCACTACTTAAATACTGCAACATATGTTTTCCTGATTCTACAGAAATTAGACTAAGCCCAATACGCCCTCATTTCTCATGTGTTGCACAGTGTAGGAAACGAGAAAGAATTCGTAGCAAAAGGCGCCGCAAGGCATTCAACCAACTTGAGTAGCTGCAAATGCTGTGCTATAGTGTCAAGAGAATTACCAGGATATAAAACAGAAACGTGAATTAAGTGCAGCTAGGAATGAGGAACGAGGCAACATTAAAGCATTTAAACTTTGATAAATAATTGCAAATAATTACAAATTGTCAAACGGCCCAAATGGAGTATTTGGACCGGACCACTTAACGCTGTCAAACATTGCAAACTATTTCAACTGAAAATGGTAATGGAAATGCGCTGGGCTCTTGCTCTGCAATTAGTAGCTTTATGACTATTTTGGGAACACACACATACATTGTAACACACACACACACACACGAACATAAAATTGCCGCATGGCAGCGTTGCCACTTAATTTTTGTGAAGTTGTCCCCTGGCGTTGGCTCATCTAATTGTCTGCTCCACTTTGTTGCTTATTATGAAATAATGCAAGACCACAAAAATTTATGTTATGTGCCATTGCGCAGGGGGTTGGAAGAAGCGCAGGGCAGGGCGGTCGGGCGGTGGTAGGGGGTGGAGGTATTTGGCAGTAGCACTGCTGATGATCCGGGGCAGACAGCTATTCAGCTGCGGCGCCACACAAAAAATGCCAGAGACGTGTTAAAAACAATTTATGCAAAGCTGCAAATCAGCGAAATAAAGCCAAGGACAAGGATAAAGACAAAGGGCAGACAGACTGTAAAAATGAAAAACAAAAACAAAAAACTAAAAAACCGCAACATTGAGCAGCTTTATAAGAAAATTTGACTTTAATTTGGTAAAAGGCATTGTCTAAAAAAAATGTATCTATTGTAATCTTTTAAGTATGAGGATTTAAGTAAGACTGACTGAAAGAAGTCTAAATATTTCTGAGAAATATTAATAATGAGAATACAATTACATGTAAATGTAGATGAGTCTTGAATATTTTGTTGATTAAAGTAAGTCTTTAGCCATAAATTCCGCCAACAAAAATATAGAACAGAACTCAATCAATATATAAAGATATATATAAATGGTTTCCTTTAAATATTTTTAATCTTCAAGAATGGTAGACGAACTGAGTCTTTAATTAATGGCCTACTCTTTGTTCATTAGATATGTGTATAAATTATAATAGATTAACCCATACTGGCTGGCTGGAAAATTAACTATTTAAATGATTTCGATTTCCATACACGCCCCAATTAAACCATATGCTAAACAAGTTGAGTAACTCAGTTCCACTGATGATAGAGAAATATTTGACAAACGAACTAATTTTACAAAATTAATTAGATTTTGCACTTTGACTTTAACAAACACACAAAGCGCACAGTGGCTGCGACCCCCAGATGTGCGGCTGTATTTGTGTGGGTGTATGTATATGTATGGGTGAGTGTGTGTGTGTGTGTGTGTGGTGCAAGTATATGGCAATGTGGCACGCAGCTTGACAGCACATGGCACAGCTGGAAGCCAACATTTGGCAAGCCAAACTCGAATGGGACATCGACTCGGCTCAATGCTTTACATGAAACTATAAATGTGTGGGAGTGTGTGTCTATGTGTGTATGTGTATGTGTGTGTGTGTGTGTGTGTCATGTGGAGTTCGCACTATCGAAAGCAATAGGTCCAAACGACACAAGCAGGTGCCAGGCGCAGGACAAATGCCAAACTACAACTGAAATTTACCACAACTCCAACTCCAGCGCAAATTCCCCTTTTTTGGCCTGGAAACTTGTTCGTGCTGCTGTTTCCCAGCTGCTGTTGCAATTAAAAGCGCAAATTATTTCGACTTTAATCGATTCGAGTTTCTCTGCCCCTCACGCATACAACTCGAATTCCCGAATTGGCAAGCAACAATTTGATGGCCTGCCAAAACAGCCATCAAACACACACCCACACAGACACAGACACAGACACAACAACTCCGCTGGGGTTTGCACTGCGTGACATGCCTTCAAATGCCGATGAGCAGCCAAAAGTCAGCAGTTAGTTGGCTTTGGATGATCTATCGCAACGGGCACGTAGTCAACCAATCAACCGTTATTTGGTTAAGATATGTATATTGACAACAATCTTTAAACTCAGCGTGACCCACTCTTATATATGTAGCTAAATGTGTGGGTTAATTTCATATGATTTCATATAATGAAATAGAAATTGTATTCGTGTGTGCATTTGTAGAAACCTATTTAATATTACAAAAACATATACAGCTATACAGCTGTTAAAGTTGTAGATTAAAATATAAATAGATACATCGATTTTGGTTGGGATTATAGTAATGGATGCTCAAAGTCTCTCAAAGGAACTTGGGAACTTTTCATGCCTAAATTGCACTCATGCTTTTTGACAGATAATCAAAAGAAAACAACAAGACAAGTATATATGTATATATTGCCTGTGTATGAACAATCAGTTCGAATTCTGGAACCAAACAATAATACCCGGTTGAAGGTTATATAAAAAAAGAAAACGAATATTAAGTTCAAGGCGTTAAGTGTATTAAAAAACAATTTTAGAGTCTAGACATTTCCGAAAGTTTCTATTTTTGTAGTCCATTTGTCTAGTTGAGCTAACACTGAATATTTATATAAATAATACATTTATACAAGAATGAATCTCGCTATGAGCCCAGACACAAATATATACATATATATATACATGTATAAATATATTTTCCGATCTAGGTAAATAGATAAGGCATGTATAGTTACTTACTCAGAGATATTGTTCTCAAAGATTAGCTCGCCGCTTACAGATCCAAAATGCTTTCCTCCCACTGCCGTTTCATCCTCCGTCCAATAGGGGACAATGACGGTGCCGCGGGCGCCAGAATAACGCATAACAGTCAGATCGTAGATGCCAATGGATTCGGTGATCTCATTCATGGATTCGCTGAATGCAAAGATGCCCGCATGGTCATCATCGAGTATCATCACTGTGGCAATCTGTGGCACAACGAGATGGACATTTTCGGATGGATTGAACAGCCGTATATAGAAGCATTCATCCTCCTCGAAGATGTCATCGTCGATGATCTCGATCTTGAAGCGTTGCTCATCGACGCCGGGTGGAAAGGTGAGCTCACCGTTCTTGCCCACATAATCGGATCCAGCCGAAGCGGTGCCATCCTGTGTCTCAAACGAGACCTTCGAGTAGCCAGAGATATCTCCACGTCGCACGACACGCACCTCAAACTCACCACAGTTCTCCATGACCGTATAGTGACCCGGTTCGAAGTAAATGCGTGTGGGTTCTTCATCGTCATCGCTGTACTGATGGAGTTGCGCCTTCACCTGGCTAATGTCGTTGTGGGCACGTTCCTGAATCTTACGCATTAGATTCCCGCTGCCAATCATCTTGCGTGTGGCCTGAATGCGATAGAAGGCACGCGATTTGTTGCCACGCGAAATCATTTGCTCCTGGACCATCATTTCTAGTTGGTCCAGATCGGCATCGGGGTATTTTTGTCGGAGTTCCGATAACAGCATTATATACTCCCTGCGCGCCTCATCATAAGCATTCGTCTCCGACTGAAAGGCAGTCATATTCTTTGAATCGTCCGGACCAAGCTCGACGGCATCGTGCTCTCCGGCAACAACTGTACCACGCTGATTCATCCGATAGTTCTTATCGATATATTTGTAGACGAGCAGGCGACGCTCCGCAATGTAGGCCCACAAAACGGTGGCCGGGAACATGATGAGCGTAATTAATCCCTCCCACACTTCGACGATGCCGGGTGATATAACGGAGAGTATAGCCCAGAGCCAGACGTAGGCAACAATCGATAGGGTGGCTGTGACCATAAAGACTCTCAAATGTCGAATGCGACGCTTCTCTCCTTGTGGGATTAGAACCATGCAGAGGGCAATGATAACAAACAGATTGTAAGCAGCCGAGCCAACAATTGTACCCGGTCCAAGATCACCGCTCTCGAAATTCTTCGCATAGATCTCAATCACGGATAATAGAATCTCTGGTGCACTCGATCCAAGAGCCATGAGTGTCAGATTCGCCACAGTTTCATTCCAAATGCGAACACTTATCGTCTGCTTCTCACCCTTGGGTCCCTTGATGGTCACCGTCCGTTCAATAGAGGTGATGGCCTCAATGGAGGCCATGAACCGATCGGATATAATGGATACACCCACAAATAGATAGACCAATAGCAGAAAGTAGACAAAGCCGCGGATGGCACGATCGCCAAGACTGATATTCTTTTGTGGCATCCACAGGGGCAGAACGAGGCCCTCTGAACAGACTTTTAAGCTTTCCTCTTCAGGACCGATCTTCAAAACCTTGGCTTCATCTTCATCGTCAAATATATTTTCGACATCCCGAACTCTCCGACTGTGCATTTGATCGCTGCTGGATAACCGGCTTGTGCTGTTGATCAGTGCATTCGATTGTGATGCAATGTCATCTGCATTATGAACGGATGATGTTAATGCTAACGTTGCCGACTTCACATAAAGTAGTAGCAACAATATCGCACAGAAGGCGACGGAGGTGACTGCTTTCCGGATTAGTAGCATGACGGCGGCGATTATTTATGGATTCCACTTGTCTCTTGATATTGGAAGCGCTTTTTGAATTTATTGGCTAGATTGGAGTGGAAGAGATCTGGTTGCGTTCGTATTGGATGTGAGCGAGTCAGGAGTGCCCTTTATTGTGCTCAAATATGCTGGTTGCGAATTATTATAATGAACGGATCGTTCTACAAAACGGCATCATCGCAATCACGCACGCTCAACACCTTATGACAACTCTGGCGCACAACTCACGTAGTTCCTGCGGATGGTTTCTGCAGGAAGAAAGTACCAAGAAAGGATATTAGGAAATTAGTTAAGAAAAATTATACAAAGTTGCATTGCACTGTTAATAAGTTGACTATTTATATGATAATTGATACAAATATATAAACATTTTTGCTCCGGTAGATCCGGTATTTTATATTCAAGAATGATGACTGCAGCCATAAAAGCTCCTTTAAGCTTATGTATTTTAGCCGTGTCGTCCAAATAATTAAATTAAATATATGTTTCTTTAAACTCGTACATGGATTCACAAGCATTTAAGCAAATAATGATATTTGCCAGATGTGCAAATGATATTAAAAGTCGTTTGCCAGAGAAGTTTTTCAGATTTTCAGCCTTTCAGCTGTTTTGTATATTTACACGAAGCAGAAACTAAACACAACCCAAGAAATAAACTACAAGCGAACGAAACAAAACATAAACAAAATGCACTAGTCAAACAGAATATAATAAAAGTACAACGTGCGAATGCCCGACTATAACATACACTGTCCCTAGCAAAAGAATGGCAAAAATAAAATCAATTTCTTTAATAAAACACGATAAGATAAATGTTAAATGACTCTACCTGAAATGAATTGTAAAATAATATCGGGAATGAAATGCAAGTGTGTGCTATGCACACCAGTAATAACAATGATTGCACATTCAAACTGTGTAATTGAGGTATATATATACCTATATATATTGAATAACTAGAGACGGTAGATAAGAAAATTGCCAGGCCACAGTGTTTATACAATTTTCATATTTCTTATATTATATGTGTACTGCCAACGGTATTTAATATAATGATGGGGGAATAACTGAATATTTGATAAAAAAAATAAAAAAATCAAAGGGCTGGTAAATATAAGTTCAATATAGAATCGATAAAATGCATAACATGGACAATGTCAATAACGGAAATTGAGTACAGTATGTGAATGTCTGCATGTGTGTATATTTGTGTATGTAAATGTTTGTGTGTTCTTAACAAGAATAAGGAACTGGGTGAAGCATAACGGTGACTGCACTTGCAACAGCAACAAAGGCATACAAAATAAAAACAACTGACTGACAAGTGAAACAAGTGAACAAAAGCATAGCGAAAAGACAGCAAGATAGAACGCTAAACATTAAGTAGAGAGAGAGACTGATAGAAAGGCAGAGAGAGAGAGAGAGAGAGAGAGAGAGAGAAGGAGAGAGTGAGAGAGATAGAGAGGGGGAAAGCGAAAGAGTGTGTAGGTTGAGATAGTGGGCTATATTAAGAGTTGTTGCAGTTGTTTTATGCGGATGATTTGGTGCATGCAAAGAAAGAACATATTCAAATGAATATAAAAATATGCACTTGTCCATGTATATAATTTATATACATACATACACACACACACATACACATATATATATATATATATATATAAAGAATACAAAGCGAGCTGCCCTTGCCGCCAAAAGAATAGCGCTTGTCTTTCATTTTGGGATATATGTATATATATAATTTTTATTTTGAAGTGAAAACAAGATTTAGTAGATGGCTCTAAAAATTGTGATGTCAAGCGAAAAAATGTGAAGAAGAAAAGCACACACACAATTTTGTGTATAGAAACTAAATTATTTTGGCGAATTTATTTGCAGCACTATTTCTTGTCCAGGGGCAAATATAATCATAGACGCTTGCATTAATTTAGCAATTAAAACGGCTAAATGTGCCAAGAGCTGCTAGAGATTGTGGAAGAGGGCGGTGGGAGGGTGGGGTAGCAGCCAGCTGGTCAGGGCAGGCAGACTTATGGACAGATAGACAAATAGACGCCCCAGGGAACAAGCACACACACACACACACACACACATATAAATATGTATGAACACAACACCAACACAAAGATATAAAAACCAACACACACACAGATAGGCAGACACAAGGCAAGTGCTCAATTTTCCACTCGTTTTTCATTTGAGCAGCCAGCAGCAAATTGCATTTAACCGTTATTGAAAATTTGTTCACGTCTAGCAAAGAGATTGTCAAATTAATTGAAAGTCTTTCAACCGTTGAATTCTCGGGACCACAAACATTTGCAGACGCGTTTAAAAAATAGAATTTAACTGAGTCTTAGATTATGCGTGATATATATTTTTATGTCGTTTATGTAGGGGCTTTTATACATATTTATGTGAGAAATTTGTCACTTTACATAATATTTATTGCCACTGTGCGAATATTTAAATATAGCACAGCTCACGAGGGTTTGGGGTTCAAGAGAATTAGCTATGCGACAGCTAATAGATCTTTTACGTTACGTTACGTTACGCTATGTTGGGTCTTACGTTGTGCTTACGTCGTTTCTCACACACACACGGCGCCTGTTTACTGATTACTTTTTTGGCTTAACTTTTGTTTGGCAAACATTTCGAAATCGACGTTCAAATTTTTGGAATTTGTTTGCTCTTTGAATATATCACTTGGCTGGGGTCCCTGCTAAGATCTAATTGTTCCGCCGATCACTCGAGGCACCGATTTCACATCTGCTCTCTGCTCGCGTTCCCGTTCGGCAGCCAACTAATTCGCTAACCCACCGCCTGCCTGCCTGTCACCTGTCTGTCTGTCTGGCTGCCACTAGCCTCTTTCTCCCAACCGCTCATAATTATTTGAGTGCACTACACTGATTTCGTTGGGAGTGTTTATTAAGAGAGCGTTTTTAAATGATGGCCGAATTATTAAAAGAAAATATATTTTTGTTATATTTAGCTAAACTAAATATGAGGATAAATACTCTCGAAAAAGTTCGCTAGTAGCTTTCACGTTGCTTTTCAAATTGAAAGCTCGATGAAACGATCCATTTGTTTTCTTATAAAGCGAATAACGAATTGTTGTTTTAGTTTTGTATTAACATTATCGAGTTGTACGATTGATAATATTCCTGCATCCTACACTCTACACCAAAATACAATGTTATCTTATCGGAAATGTGTAGGGTATTGTTCACCATATTTATGTTATGCCTTCCCTATTCCACCACAATAATTAACCTATGTGTTTGTCTGTCAAAATAGTGGCTGTTATTTTAGCTGTGCACCGTTTCACTTATTTTGCTTTGCTTAATATGTATCTCTATTTATGCCTCTCTGCCGCTCTCTATTTTGCTCTTGGCTTCCCGTTACGTTTATCTTATTTTTGTTTGGTCTTGCATTTTGTTTATCTCTCTCTCCCCCTCTCCTACTCTCTCTTTCGCTCTCTCTCTCTCTCTCTCTCTTTCTCCCTCTCTGCCTCGCGCGCAGAACATAAAATAGCGTGGAAAAAATTTGGCTGAACATGTGTAGAAATTTGTGTGTTTTGCCTTTACCTTTTGGTCAACTAGTTCTGACCACGACGCCAATATACACACACATGCACACATACACACATATACATACGTGCATACTACATACAGATGAGCATATAGATGTAATACATCCAATGTATTTGTGTCTGTAAGTAGAAAGCTATTTCAGTATGTGTGCCTCCCAAGTACCAAAGTCGCCTGCGCCAGTCAAATTGTTGGCTAAGCTATTTTCTGTTAGATTTTGATTATTTGTTTGCCACCCAACTGTGCAACATGCTTTCTAATGTATGTATTCTTTCCTTGCCTACCCTTAAGATATTTTTAGATAAATATATTTGCACATACACTCAGAGAATTCTTACTATTTTATACAGAAAATTTCGCGTACAGTTCATCTTCACATATATATGAATGTATTCTCAAAATTCTCGATTTGAGAATCGACCGTTAAACCTTGGACGAATTTAGACAAAGTGTACTTGTACTTGATTTTAGTACATGGACATTCGTCTGCTTTTTCCTCTCAGTGTATGCATATGTATTTATAGAGATGTATGACTGCTAGCCAAAAACTGTCACCGGCTGCAAATGCAACGTTTGATCTACATATGTATGCCTGTATGCGTTGGAATACATTTTAAATACTCACTCGGATACGATTATCTGCGATTGTGTCTGGGGATGCTCCACAACAACTACAATATGATTTGGGCTCCACTTATTTTGGGGGGGTATTCACGGATTTACCGATTTACAGGATCTCTTGAGACACCTGGTTTTTCGTTTGTTTTGCGAATGCACTTTGGGCAACTTGTGCACCAATAACTGGGTTCCACCTGAATGATTTATGGCCTAGAAGCGTCGCGATTCAGTTTAAAGTACGCATTAATATGAATAATTCATGACTTGCTTGCTGGCCTCACTCTGTTTCTCCCCGCTGTTGTTGTTGAGCTGCTCTCTCTCTCTCACTCTCTCTCACGACACGGCGTCTGCTAAGTGCCGTTAGTTTCTTTATCTTGGCCAACCGTTTGGAAAGTGGGGCACAGTGGCACCGCCAGGCTCACCTGGAGAGCACGTTCTGCTTGAAGGACTTGAACCCTCCGCCTAGTTATCCAGCACAGCAGCCGGAATTTATTGTCAATGCTTCCTTGTGTTGCCTTAATTCATGTGAAGTATGAATCAAAGCGATCACGAACGCAACCCAACCGCATCTATCACCAGCTCACGTACTATTTGGCTAACTGACAGAAATCGTTGCTGCGTTAACTCCTGCTTGGTCGACACATGCTCTATCAGTGTTGGTATATATATTATGTATACACACACGTTAATGACGTAGTCTAACACAACGCAAAACCTTGACGGCTTGATTATTTTCTGACAAGCGCTTACTACTTGAAAGCAGTAAATTCATTTTGTGCCAATACGATAAGGCAATTAAGATTGTGATTGTGGCTGATATAAAAACTTCTTAAGTTTAAGTTTAGCAAGTGTTGATAACTAACCGGCAAAATTATCATCCCTAACGTGTCCAAAGCCTGTTCAATTGCGTCATTGTTCTTATCGCGCCAGTTGACCACATCAACTAGTTATATATACAAACAGTATAGATAGTTTATCTATAAATCTGTTTTGCTGCGACAAATTTGAAAACGATCGTTACTTGCTAGCCGAAGCTCTAATCTAACAATTGTGTAAAAAACATATTTGGAATTTGTCTTTCTTTTTTTTAAGTATGATATTTGATTTTTATTTTAAATATTACATTTATTGTGTGTGAATTTAAATTTTATATTTTATCTCAGGGTGCTTTGTACGTTATTTTTTACTGGTCAATAAGATTCAAACAAAGTAATGGTTGGCATTATTTGTTAAGAATAATAATATATAAATGCAGTATATATAAATACGATTATAAATGTTAAATAAGAGCGCTGAATTCAAATCTTTTCTGGGCTTTATAAAGCTCTTACTTATAATACTGTTAAACCAGCAAGAAAAATCTTTCTTTTGACTACTATTTGTTGTCTTGATAAATTCTACAACAAATTATTGTATACTTAATTTAAATTAGTGTTGTCTGTTGGACCAGCCTTGACCAAAAGTTATGTTTTCAAGCTGCTTGTTGAGAGCTAAGTGTATTTTATGTGCATTGGAATAACTAGCACAGCTATTAATAATAATACAAAAGTTGTTTACATTAATGATACTCATTTTGTGACAAAGAAAAAGCACATCAAGCTCGAAAGACATAGAAATCATGAAACCCGACAACAATTCTTAAAGTGGCACAATCGATCTGTATAAATAGGTCGCAGTGTTTAATCTAAGAAATTGTCTGTCTTAATACAATATATCATTGCTAAATTATATTAATAATAAAAGATATGAAATGACTCAAGGCTTATAGTATTAATTTATTACGTTCAGTCACAGGAAACCAGGCTAAATATACCTCCGAAAGTAGCATTAAATAGCTCTCATAATATGCTCTGCACTCTACACTCCCCTAGCACTCCTTAATAATTAACTAGCCAACAGCTGTGTGTGGATATTTCGTTAATTTAATTAAACTGTTTAGCTATTTAACCCACAAACTTTCACTAGGTGTTTCTTTTTTTTTTTTTTTGGGTTGGCTTTGAGTGTCAACCGCAAGAAAGGGAAGGCCCTAAGATATTTTGCATGCTCAATTAGGCTAAATAATTGATTAGGCGTCACTTTGGCAACGGGCACTATACGACAACCCAAACTAGCCTGCGCCACAAACGCTGTAAAGTCCGGTCACTTGGCTCAAAAATGTAAATGGAGGCGCTTCAAATATTTATCATATGCCACGTTGACCGCAAGACCGAAGTGACTGCAAGTCACCCTCATTCTGATGAAACATCCAAGCAACGGCCAGCACTTGTGCACGTGTGTGCGTGTGGTGTGATGGTTTGTGTGTGTGTGTGGGTGTGTGCATATGCGGGTATGCGTATAAATAAAGCAGACAATATGAATTGGCTTTAAGTAAAAGCTGTCACAGTTGTCTGCACGTTTACAAACAAACAGTCATATAATAAAATAGCTGCTCAGACAATCCTTGTGCAAGTATAAATTTCATCCAGGCAATCCCTTCTGCTTTTGTTCCTAGCAGCTACACAGCAAGAAATATAGTTGACATATATTTTAAGTCAAGTTAAAGAGGCTGACTAACAACAATAAAAATAGCTCACCTTAATCAAGTTTTTTGTGCTGGTCTCGAAGATAAATGGAAATTACCTCAATTCTCATCACAGAATACAGCATTTAAATTACTGATTTCTATCTGTGTAGAAGGAGTCGAGGGTTGTTATGAAAAATTCATGTATTTGTGCTTGGCGCATAAAATCTCCTTTGCAGCTGCGATTCAATTCTAGATAATAGCATTAGATTTCTTTAATCCCCTTAGCTGGTATCTCCGATCCATACTTTGACATACTTATTGCAGGGCATCTACTTGGTCAGTCAGCTGTGACTGCAGCACTTTGGTTTATACAAAATATATATATATATATATTTGGTGCTGTAAAATGAATACATAGACCAGGCTTGGTAACTACCAGGCAACAGGATGCTTAGGAACTCTGGCTCCGTAAGACAGCACACCGAAATGGTTAATACAGGAGAGCCTCTGGCAACAGTTGCTGTTGTCAGCGCATTTTCCTGTTGCCTTTTATTTATTGGCGACAGTATTTGGTCCTGTTCTTGTTGTTGTTGTTGTTGGGCTACAACAACTTTGATGACGGTCGTTATGGAAGTCGTCGATTTGGAATGCCGCTTCTCACCGCGCCGCACCGCCGCACCTCCTCTCCCATTTGCCCCCCAGCCCCAGCACCTACTCTTACCCATTTCCTGCTTTCCCTTATCCGTCTCTCGTCTGCCGCCTTGATGTGTAAGCTTAGATGGATAACGCCACTGTTGACAGCTGAATGCGTACTCGCCTCACCTCACCTCACCTCACCTCACCCCGCCTCGCCCCGCCTCGCCTCCTGTTCTCTTTTTTATCAACACATCTCTGAGGGGTATTTTTTTTCACATTTTCACGCCTGTTTATTCAGCTGTCAGAGCTAAACTGTTTATTATTTTGTGTGTGTGTGTGTGTGCGTGTGTGTGAGCTCTTATTTATTTATAACTGTACTTTGCACCATTTTAAAATACACACACAATCACAGAAGCGCACACATAACTGAGAGTTAAGCTCTTGCAAATGGCTGCTACAAATTTTAATAGTTCGCCTCAGACAAAGGATGACAAAA